AGATCACTAGGTTTTCTAGAAAACCGGATTTTTCAGAGATCTCTATCTCAAGACTCCGAGGTGTAGCATAACTTTTCTCTGTCGAAATATATAGAAGTCGACGTGCTCTTTCATTCGATACCAACTTTTTTCAAGGGTTCAAAAAAGACAATCTTATGTTGCTGCTCAGATTATTCAAGCAGCAGCCGGTGCAAGAGAAGCACGAAGACGTGAACAAATTCGTTGAAAAACGCGTATTTTAAATATATTGAATGAAACAACAACAAATTTCGACAAAGTTTTGACAAAGCTTTAGCTCAAAATATCCAGCAGCTACTAGGATTCTTTTTTCGAGATTTATTAAAATTTTTTAATAAATCCTCATACATTTTGAAATAAATCCCACATAATTTCTGAGGGTGAGCGCTGGGAGCAAAGGCAAGGATGTCGATGCGTTGAAATACTGATACAGCTAGTGAGTCCCAATAAATTCTCTGTAAAAAGTTAATCTCAAAAAAATTAATCCCGGTAGGTCCTCATTATTGAAAAGCAAATATGAGGAGCAAGTATGATCGGCGAGCGAGTATCGTTAGGGAGCAACTGTCACTGGGAAGCAAGTGTCCCGGGAGCATGTATCCGAGGAGCAACTGTCTCGGAAGCATCAGTCATGGATTAAAAAAAAAGACCAAAAACTCATATGTCTGTCGACATAATAAAATTCTTACGCTCATAATTCTAACTGAAAAAATTTTAATTATAGAAAAATTTTCAAGGCCTACACGATGGCTGCTTCAGCTATCTTTACTTTTCGAAAAAAGAAAAGTAAAGGAAATACTCTCTAACTATTTACCGTCGGAAAAGTAAATGAATTATTTACTTTTTTTGTATCATTAAACCGACCATGGGGAACAAGATTCAATAGGCTTTCCGTTGACAACCTCTTGAGAAAGAAGCATCAAACTTTTGATATGTTCGGTCTCTTATGCAGTGCCCAAAGGAGAAACGAGCGAAGCCGGAGTATTTATCAGAAAACTGATATCCATCTCCACGATCAGTCGACGATCTTGGTCTTGTTGGAGAATCGTTTAAGTGTCCTGATATTGGTCTATTCTAGTTCAAAAAATTACGAAAAAAACGAAACATCAGCGCATACATCCCTACATTAGGAAAAATTAAGAAAGTTATATTGAGACGTTAAAAAGGTTATATGCGGGGCTGATGATTATATAGAAAAGTACTTGATTATGTGAATATACCACCAGAAAAAAATAAAGTTGGTTTTGAGTTGCTGAAAAGTGCTTTTTCGTATTCAGCACATGCGATAACCTAGAGGATTTTTCTATTTCTGACGAGGGGTACTTCCAAAAGTTCAGAAAAAATTTTCGAACTAATATTATTTTCCCATGAAAATTTTTTTGTGCCATTTTCTTTCGAAATTTCCCTTAAACTTTTGAAAGTACCCCTTTTGAAAGTAGTAAAAATAGAAAATCTTCTGGGTAATCGAGCATGCTGGATACGAAAACGCACTTTTCAACAACTCAAAACCAGCTTTATTTTTGTTGTTTCAGTGATATCCAGAAAATGTGTTTGTGTCTAAAGAGACGAACAATAAGATTGTCTCTCTCAAAATGCAGCGCCTGTCACTCTTTTTTCCCCTGTAAATAAATGTACATGCATCCTACAAACCTACGCTTTATTTTGTGCTCTAAAAAGAATTGTTAGACTAATGTGATAGATTATAATAATAGTTAGCTGTCTTATTCATATGTGGGTCTCTTGAAAAAGAGAAGAAACGATCATAGCAATTAGAACCATTGATGTCTTATAAAATACCATATCCGTCTTTCAATTTGCATATGTTTTAATTGTCGAAATGGTATGGGTGAAAGATGACTTAAATGATGATAACATTTTTTTGAATAATATTGTTTTAATTTAGAAGCTGCTTCAAATATAAGCATAAGTACACCTGACATTGTTGACAGAAAGGTATATTGTTCAAATGTTATTGTAGAATGCTCATTTGTTGGCACGGTTACAGAATCAATTTGTTGTTTAGTATCTTCAAATACGGCGTAAGCTGTTTTACCATGATAAAAATAGTGAATTAATTTAGCTGTTGGTTCATCTAACATATGTCCATCAGTAATCGTTTGTGTAAAAATGGTACGATGATTATTTTTTAAATCTACTTTAACATCCTATAATATAATGAAGACGACGACATCCTAATGCATTCATGTAGATCAAAAGGTAAAATAGTCAACGTCGCGAGACACACATGAGTAAAAATACCCGATGGAAAGTCCAGAATTTTTTGTAAGACTACCCTTTCAGGGATTTTTCGAGAAGAGAATCTAAAGGTATTTTTCTTTTCTTTGAAAGACAACACGACATCTTCTTCTTCTTCAACGTACTTGTAAGTCATCTACCAATTGTATACCAAAACCAAAATATTCTAGAAAAGCCGTTTTTTCATATGTCAAGTGTCCTTCAACAAGAAGCCAACCAGCTAGCATTGATGCAGGACCCTTTTGTGCTGAGATTTCTTCAATTAATTCCATTGTTGGTTGATAGCCGTCCTCAGAGCATGCATGTTGTTGAGTCGATCTTACTTGTGACTCATGTATATATGCTAGGCCATAATAAACTTCTTTATATGATTCTCTTGGCCAATCATTTTCAATAAATTTTACCATATCAAAGATTTTTTTTATACGATCTGAAAGGAGTTTTAATGATTCTGGCACAGCAGCATATTCTTCACCATACAATAAACGTTGAAAAAAGATTTTTGCAAATTCTTGTTTACATTCTTTCGTTATATCGTTAGAATCCGTAAAATTATCTGTATACGGATATAACATTGAATATCCAAATACTGCATCAGTTAAGTACATTTTTCTATCTAATCGTATATATAATCCACACAGAAACCATATATTCCGAGCAGCTTGAAATAATTCATCCATATCAATCGATGAGTCATATAATTCACCTTTTGATATAAATTCACGTGTCTTTTGAGCAACTTGTTGACACATCTCAACCAAACAATCATTTTGTTCCATATGAGGTACATTGAACATTTCATCATACAAATGAAAAACTAGAAATACAATTGAAAGACTGTGTGTGGAGTTACTTTGTTAAATAATTTTTGCAACGACGAGTGATAGTGACCAGGAATCGGCACGGGTCAAAAATTTTTGACCCGGCTCGACCAGATGATGAAAATTTTCAGACAATGCCAGCAGACTTTATCTGTCCTGGCCCGACTAATCTGGAAACTTTTCTAACTCGACCATTTTTTAAAATTTTCTGGTCCAGTTTGTAGTGCTCGACGAGCTGATTACGAGGGCATAAAGCATTTTTCCTCATGGCTCTTGAAGAGCCGTTTTTCTAGAAAATCAGTTTTTCGGAAACTCTAAAAAATAATCAAAACCTTAACGAGGCATAATTGTAGCCCTAAGTTTATTTTTTCTTACTTCTGTAGCGTTGAGCTGAGAATGAACATTCAGGGCTTTTCTTGTAAATTCTATAATTTTGCAAAGAAAGGTCGTGTAGAGCTGAGAGATGTCTTATTTTAATCCGAAATGTGCGCGCTACAATTATGCCTCGTTAGGAAAGATTTTAATTATTCTTCAGACTTTCAGAAAAACTAGTTTTCTATAAAACCGGGAGAGCTCTTCAGAGTTTTTCCATGTTATTCTTCTATGAGGAAAAATGCTTTATGCCATCGTAATCAACTCGCCGTACTCTACAAACTGATATGAATCCCACTCGAAACTGAGGGTCACATTAGCGGACATTCCCTCGTAAGTGATGTAAATGTATTTCTCAAGCTAATATTTATATCTTTATGATTTCTTGATTTTCATTTATCAATCTTTAAAGGCATTAGCTAAACGAAGTCATTAAGATGGCACGGAACAGTGATAATACTCTTTCTCGGTACCGAGTATACACAAAAATTACAAATCCATGCATGCTTAAAAATTTTGAATTCAGTCCGGCCAGATCCGACCAAAGTATTGTGCAGCCTAAGATCGACCCGGTCCGATCATGCTTTAAAATTTTCTGGTCCGCTCCGACCCGTGCTGATCTCTGATAATGACACCTAGTGCTCCTTTAGTTTCCATACTGTCTGCTATTTTTCTTTCTGATGTGAAATCCCAGAGTGTCTCCTATCGATCTATACGTAAGTCTAAGATCTTCGTCTATCATGGTACCCAAAGATGCTCAATCAATGGTTAGTTTATTATCGACTATCCTCTCTATCTGGTGGCATTGTGCTGCTAGTCAGACTTACTTTTAGTACGTAGTTTTTTTCTCTTTTTTTGTGTTTTCTTTAAAAGAAGACAACAAGTTGCGTAATATTTTAACTTTCTACCGTAACGATGTTGTTGTCGACGTGTAAAATATTTAACATTATTAGTGGAACTTTTTTTTGATGATGGTAATTCAATAGGTAATTGATTCCATATATCTATCGTATTTTCATTATTCATACGTAAACATTCTTGTTTAAATTCATCATAGGAATTAAATGTAAATAGTTTATTATTATTTGATGTGTTATCAGTCATCTACAAAAATAAATAACAACAATGAAGTAGGCATTTCTCTATACAAGTGTACATATTCGTCTGACACGTAAAATAAGAATAATACACAATCGAAGATTAATAAAAATGACGACAAGAGGAAATAATATATATAGAAATCAACTGAGAGAACCTCCCCAGGTTGCAAATCGCTTTCGGGCTAAAATCTAGTGAGTCAGACGTAATCAAGGGTGCTGATTCCGAATATAGTAATCGTTTTGACCGATAGGTCTTCAGAAACCGAATTTCTAGAAAACCAGTTTTTCAAAGCTCCTAAAAAATAACCAAAACCTTTTTTAACGAGCCAGGATATTAGCCCGCAGATTTCTGATTAAAATGAGACCTTTCCAAGCTCTACACGATCTTTCTTTGCGAAGTATAGAATATACAAGAAAAGCCCTAAATGTTCATTGTCAGCTCAAAGCTATAATTTAGGGCTTTCTTGTAAATTCTATAACTTTGTAAAGAAAGGTAGTGTAGAGCAGGGAGATATCTCATTTTAATCAGAAATTTGCGGTGCACAATCTTGCCTCATTAACAAAGTTTTTGGTTATTTTTTAGGAGTTTTGAAAAACTGGTTATTCAGAAATCCGGTCTCTGAAGACTTATCGGCCAAGATGATTGTTATATAGCACCCTTGATTACCTCTGGAAGCGATTTGCAACTTAGGAGGTTCTCTCGTAAGAATGGTGACACTGCAGTGAAAAATATTTTACATATGTAACGTATTTTACATATGTATTTTACATATGTATATGTATTTTTTTGACAGATAATAGATTGCAATCCTAGTGAAGCGTTTTTTTTCTCAAGTGCATAATTTTTTTGACTTTTCTTGACCCAAGAAAATCATGCGCCTGAGATTCTTCGCTCAAGCACTGTAGTCTCTTACGTCGGAGTTTCTTGAGATATGCGCATGCTTTTTATCCTCTTCTCTTTCTTACATCAATCGGCTTTGATTACTTACAATGTAGAGTTAATTATCCTTTCTTTAAAGGTACCCTTCTCTTTTTTGCAAAAACTCTTTCATTTTGAGCTGAACGTAGCCTGATTTAGAAAAAAGTATAGGCTCTAAAATGAGACCATTCCTAGCTCTTCATGACCTTCTCTGAAAAAGATACGAAGTTTTTCCGTCAAAGCCTATAAAATTTCAGTTTTTTAGTTTCATAAATTTTCCTCTCTTTTCCTATATATTCAAGATTTTTTCTTATAGATAGCCTAACAGAAGAAAATGTACTCTTCAATATGAGACGTTTTCCAGAATTTTCCGATGAGTTTCGTGGAGATATGAACATTACCACAAATGCCCTGAAAAACAGAGCCCTGTGTACAATATGTGTTTTTTCGATAGTCCCTTCAATCCAGTCACATTACGACCCCTCGAAAAAATGGTCCGATCGAGCTCAAATTTTTACCACAAATACTTCAGACCCTATCTCAACATGTAAATGTTTTTTAAGCGTTTTCGATTTCTACGTTCGGGTAAGAAGGTTTTTAAAATTAAAAGCCGGTTTTTTATACAGGCTTTTTAGCTATTTTTTGAATATCTGGAGAAGGAAAGCATATTTTTCGAAAAGAAAAATTTACATCCTGAGATAAGGTCTGAAATACCTGTGGTGAAAATGTGAGCTCGATCGGACCATTTTTTCGAGGGGTCATAATATGACTGGATGAAAACTAGAGTTTTTCAGAAAACCCATAGAGGAACATGTCAGAAAATTCATAGCAAAAATATATCGATTTTCTTCTTCGATATTCTATCTTTGCTATAAATTTGAGCTTAATCGAGCGTGTGCACCTGGCAACAACATGAAAAAAGAGAGGAGGCAACATCCTTACACGTATATATAGATTGTATCTATACAGCACATGTGTTTTATATAAAGATGATTTTATACTCTCATTTAAACGAAATATACACGAAAAATATGATCGTTGTACAGAAAACATTTCTCCGTCTTTTAATGTCGTATGAAGACCATTTCTACTCACAGTTTTGAAAGTTCTAAGTACTTTATTATGATATTTTTCATTACACTAATATAAAAAAACAAACAATTTTTATGGTTAATACCTCATAGTAAGTACTAGACAGAGAGAATAGATAATTGAGAATTTCAAATCTTGTCCACTTGATTTTGGGTGATTTCAAAAACTACTAAATATTTCAGTTTAATTAATCAAAACGGGTTTTCTGTCTCAGATAATACACCAAATTTACGACCATTCCTCATGTCAATGATCGCAGATAGAATGATCGTAGACTCGATTACACCCACTGACGGTGTAAAAATCTCAAAATAAAAATATACAAAAGTGTATGTTTTACCAATTTGAGAAATATGCGGGAAGAGAACGTAGTTAATATGAGATTGCAATATTTTTTCAATAAAAGCATCATGTCTTATATCTTCAAAAAATACAGCGAAGAAAGTTCAACGTTGTGACAAAATCATGTGGACTCTCAATCCTCACTTTCTCTGCTTCAGCTAGCGGAGTACTTACTGTGAGATGTTAATCATAAAAATTGTTTGTTTTTACATATTATTATGATGAAAAATATCATAATAAAGTAACTTACTTAGAACTAAAAAATGCTAATAGACATAATCTAGCTGCCTTAATTTAATCAGTACCTTACACAAAAATAAATTAGATTCCATCATGTTTTCGAAGAAAAATTTAAGTAAAACTTGGTGTAGTCAAATATGAAAAATGGACCCAAAAGTGTTGTCAAATAAGAAAGAAATATTTATGAATTTCTTACAATAAGCACTTGAGTTTCTTGAGGGATGCGCATGACTTGACGGATGTATACGACTATTTCAAGAAAGTCATGCATATACTTCACGCGCTTTATATGAGTAAGAATCGTATGCGCATGTGGACAAACCTTAAGGTATGCACGTGTCATGTGCTTGAGAAAACGCTTCACTAGGGTCGGATAACTATTCATTTTGCCATGCATGACAAAAACTAATAACTGAAATAGAAATACAAAGGCAGGCAAATCGATTGCCTTTTCTTCTTTCTCTTCGATGTACAAAAAACCAAAAGTAACAACAATTAGCATGTCTTTTACATAGCTTTATTATATTACATTATAGGTAACACATTATAGATATTGGCGTCAATTATTTATGCTTGATTGATAAAATGAGGTGTTGTAACGATCAGCTCAAAATATTGACTATCTCTTAAGATGAGTAAAATGAGGTAGGACAAATAAATTATCATATTCTTTATCATCAGCAAAAAATTGTTATCCGTATAATAATTCTTATTAGGTGATCGTAATATTTCATTTCTTTACATAGGTAGCTCATAGTACAGGTGGAGCGTAAAGTTGTTAAGTACAATATGATTTAATTGTATTTTTGTGAAACTCATTACACACACATTACTTTGTAAAAGGTAACGAAGAAGTGTGTCCAAGAGCCACGCTGCTATAGTCAACGTACTTCAAAGGTACGGAGGTCGAATCCTAGCAGCGGTCGTCACATAATAGATAGTCTTGAACATTTAATATCATTCACATTGTCTCGGTACCTTAGGCACAGATGTACTAGAGTAAGCCGTTTTCACTGGTCATCGAATTACGAAGTTGAGAATTCAAGTCTTAAGGGTACCCCTCCCCTCTATTTTCACCTTGTTGGCAAATGCGGAGCACATGTCCGATTGAGCTCAAATTTATACCACAGATAGAAGAGCGAAAAAGAAGGTTCATGGATTTTTGCTCAGAATTTTCTGACATGATCTTCTATGCGTTTTCTGGAAAACTAGTTTTCATCCGGTTACATTATGACCCCTCAAAAAAATGGTCCGATCAAGTCAAAATTTTTACCACAGATACTCCACACCCTAACTCAGAATGAACATGAAAAGTATGAAAAATGTATTTCTTGAAAAATATTCTTTCCTTCTTGAAATACATGGAAAATGCTGAAAATTACACAAAAAAAATTAAGTTTTTTCAGTTTACATACGCTCATGTTCTACACAACAGTAGATCAGTTGTGCTTATATATTAATGTACTTTTAAGTTCTGAGGAATGAAAGATAACATTGATTTAACTTATTGCTTATGTGCAAGAAGAGTCAACGTCTACGGGAATATATTCTGATACCAAATTCTTGTGTTAGATGAACGAGTCACTTTTTTTAGATACAAAAGAGCTAAGTGACAGAATAATTCATTGTTCAGTTTTTTTCTTAAAAGAACAGATTTCTAAAAAAAGTAAAAATATTTGTTTTTTTGAGAAAAATATTTAAAAAAAACGAATAATGTGTAATTCTGTAATTAATATAGTGGCAAAAATTTTTCATACACTCCACTCCTCTTTTTCTTTTGATCATAACTCGGTAACGAAAACAGCTTTTGACAAGCGGTTTACACCAATTTCCGTCCTCTCTAGTGTGTTTGTAGATAAAAGAAGTTAGAAATATTTATTGTTGTTGTTTGTAGGCCCATTAGACCGAAAAGTGAACGTTTCTCGGTCGACAAAAGTTTTCCATACAGTTGATAAAAATCTTTTTTTACGCTGTATATGCACTGAGAAAATATGAAAACTACATCAATCGATAGAAGAGAGTGTGTGCTACATTTTGTTAAAATAATAATTTTGAAAAGCTTTTCCCTTGAGGTAAAAACTCGACTTTAAGCCAAAAGTGCCATACTCTTCAGTGTGGCTGCTGAATCTCAGGAATGGGTGGGTTTTAAAAAATTCTAATTAAGCCATTCAAAAGAGCATCGAAAACTAAATATAGTGTGGAAGTTAAATGAAAGAATTTGACCCATCTTTTAATGTTTTGGATCTTAGGGCTATTTTTGAAATATTTTTTCTCCTCTGTTCTTATCTAAACATTTTTTGGATATCTTTGCGTCATAACGTAGTCAAGTAGCTACTGTATACGGAGATGAAAAGAGACTTTTAAACCTTTTAAGTTCACAGCGAAAAACGGATTTCTGAACATTAAAACCGGCTGTTCACCCATAAAAAAAACATTTTTTTGATCAAAAACTAACGTCATATTTGTGCTCAGCGTCAGAAACTACGTATAGTGATATGTCACTCGAAATCTAGGAAAAATTTTGCTGCATAAAAATGTCTTTGTTCCCCGGTCAGATGTTTAGTAAGCGAAAGACCTCCAGGCGTTACTTTTAGATGAAAAAAACGTTTTGCTCACCTTCGAGTGACAAATTCTTTCACTTAACTTCCACACTATATTTAATTTACTCAGTTTTTGATGCTCTTTCGAATGGCTTAATCAGAATTTTTTTAAACCCACCCATTCCTTAGATTCAGCAGCCACACTGAAGAGTATGGCACTTTTGGCTTAAAGTCGAGTTTTTACCTCAAGGGAAAAGCTTTTCAAAATTATTATTTTAACAAAATGTAGCACACACTCTCTTCTATCGATTGATGTAGTTTTCATATTTTCTCAGTGCATATACAGCGTAAAAAAAGATTTTTATCAACTGTATGGAAAACTTTTGTCGACCGAGAAACGTTCACTTTTCGGTCTAATGGGCCTACAAACAACAACAATAAATATTTCTAACTTCTTTTATCTACAAACACACTAGAGAGGACGGAAATTGGTGTAAACCGCTTGTCAAAAGCTGTTTTCGTTACCGAGTTATGATCAAAAGAAAAAGAGGAGTGGAGTGTATGAAAAATTTTTGCTGCCACTGTAGATATTAGGCATATCTCTTCAACAGAACTCAAATAAATATATATTGTGAACATAAATACGTGTAGATGTGTATACTGCATGTGTTTGTATGCTCACTCAGACAAATTTAGAAATATTTTTTTTCCATAATACATAAGACAATGGAATGCTCTGTCAATTGTTCTTTACTAATTCACAATATTAGCACGTTTAAATAAATTATATATGGTTTCTTTTTTTAGTAATATAAATGGCCGTGGTTTTAATATGTTACTGAATGAGAGTATAATATTTTGCTAAATTGACTACAAATTAATTTTTTCTCACTTTATCTTATTTCTCCTTCTATGTGTGCGTTCTGAGTTTTAGAATTTTTGTGTACTGTTTTACATATATAAACAGTCAAAAATCATACAATAGACGTTTCTTCTTATTTTTAAAATTTACTCTCGTTTTTCTTTTCAGTTCTTTTTATTAATAAAAGCTCATATTGACTACTTTGCTCAATACTGTTTCAATTGACGACGATACTGCGATAAGGGAATTGCGAACTGTAACTAATCGTGATCATAACGTGCATGTGAACTCTCTTTAGTATCATGGGCTATTAAATTAAGTATTTAATTTTGCGTTTATCATAAATAGAAAAGATCACGAGCAGTTGCATCATGTTTAAATAGGGTGAAGAAAGAACAAGTTAATGTTCTCCTCCATAAGCCACTGTACCTTTCATCTTGTCTTACTGAGAATGTTGTACGATTTAAAAATAACATCTCTCAATTTATTACCTTATTACAAAATCGTTGCAATAAATTGTAGAACGTTAAAATGTTCACCGACGCCATGTCGAAGCCGGCTAGTATCTTAGAGTAATGCACGACATTGTACTGTTACCTGATGAAAACGAGCGTATATGTTTATCTATTATTTTAATTAAAGAAAATTTATCTATTATATTTACATTGGTAAATTGAAATAAACATGTAATAGTTCACTTTCGGACGACAATGTATTAGAATGAAATGAATTTTGATCTAAGAAAGATAAAACATCACTCCAAATAACCGTATGTATATTTCAACATTCGATACTTCGAGATAAAAAGAGACTACTTGAATTTTTCGTCGGGTTTTCGGTAGTTTTTGATTGAAAATACTTGCTTTTGAACGTGGTAGCAACTCTGAACAAAAACATTACATGAAAAATATAGTATTGCAAGACAGGTTCAGTATTGCCGTGTCCGAAAAACACATTCATATAGAAATAATTCTTCTCTATAATATCATCAGTTTTGTTTGATTTTACATTGTTATATGAAGTAAAAATGTAAAAGTAGATTTTGTATCAGAATATTAACTACAGTATAGGGTGGTGGATACAACAGTTTACGACCGTCATTTACCGTCTGGGAGAATCGAGCTGGTTACTGGAGAGTTTACAAAAAGACAATACCTTGAACAATCATTCAGTAGAGTCGAATGATTTGTAATTGTATGAACTGGACGGATGGAAAAACAGAAGAAAGTAGTTTCTTCGCACATGCAGCGAATGTTGCATGATTTTAGCACATTAAACAAGCAACAATCATTCTACGGAAAAATATATAAGTGGTGGCACACTTCCATTTGACCTACCAATAATTACTCACTCTTTTTTAGAGACAACTGATTGTTTTTTTTACCATTAGATTCAGTACACTTTCTTCTACTTAGCAATATAAAAATATCTACTACTACCTAATCTACTACTACCTAGTAGTTTACAAAAAAATTCTTTAAAAATAAGCGATAAAAGTAAAATTTTCATTGGAATTACGAGCGTTATAATGTTCGTAATTTCAGTGATAGAGTAAATCTACTCTATTCTAACTTTTCTTAATACATTTCTTTGAACTTTAACAACATCTAGTTTTGAAAAACATTTTGTGATTAATCAAATAAGTCGTACGTACCTTTGAATTTGAAGATTACAAATTGAACCTGTACGGTTTTGTCAGAACAGTGTCTTTAAACACACCGATAAAAGTAATTAGAGTCAATGTTTTCTGCAGATACGCGTCGATGTTAGGCCTATGTTCTCCACTGGATTCTCCCCTTCATCTCTTATCGCTCATCGTAGGGGAAAATTCATCCGTTTTGTGCTGTTAGTTCATTAGAAAATCAATATCTACTTTACTCAAGGAATTCTGCATGGGAAAATCACTAATTCAGGAATCTCGCAGGAATACATACTTTACAA